CAGTGCTGATTCAGTTGACAGGTGTCATGGTATATCTGTACCGTAGCCACGGTGCCTTTTGTCGCGCTACGCATGTATGCGCGATGGTCGAGACTGGGCAACCTAGGAATCGACGACTACCTCATCCTACTCTCTCTGACATGTCTGATCGGGGACCTCATCATCCAGCAACACATGTGGAACCTAGGGCTGGGCGACATGGCATCAATAACCCCAGAAAACTTCAAGGGCATAATGCAGATGATCATCCCCGGATCGACGCTCTACGTTTCCTCACTATGGGCGATCAAGTTTGCCCTGGTCTTTTTCTACAAGAGCCTGGCTGCTCCCGGCTCCCGTCTGGTCCTTGTGTATAACTTCACGCTTGCCGGATTAGCTGTCACCTACCTCGTCATCTTTTTCGACATCATCTTTCAGTGCTTCCCCCACGACAAGCGATGGTCGAATAACCCAGCCTGTGAGCAAAAGCAAACCCTGACCCACATGTATGCGAACGGTGGAGACTGACCATGCGCAGATCAATGCAGTCCCAAAGCCGCCGAGATCAACTACTGGATCACCATTTGCTTCAACATCGCAACCGACGTGTTCATCATCTGTCTGCCCATCACCATGGTCTCCCGGCTGCAGATGAAGCTGAAGCAAAAGCTCGGTGTAGCCGGAATCTTCGCCTTGGGTTTCTTCGTCGTTATTGCCAGCAGTACATTCCCATCAGATTCGAGATGAACCAGAATCAGACTAACATATCGCCAGTCGTCCGAGCCTACTACTCGCACAGGAACGAAACGATGCTAACCTGCACCGTCTCCATGATCGAAACCGCCATCGCCATCATCGCCACCTGTCTCCCCGCGCTCCGCTCCATGATCCTCGGCACAAACAACACCACCAAAGACTCTGCCAACAGCTACGGCCGCCACTACGAACTCTCGTCCGCGCGGCGAAAAGCCAGCGGAAACCGTCTGACGGCCTCGAACCAAATCTCCGGCGGTCTGCACTCCACACACGACACCCGAAATCGAGCAAACGGATCAGAAGACTCGCTCTTTACGGATCCGCCGTCGGATCAAATAGGCGGCGTTGAGCAGTTTGTGAGCGGCAAGGGGATAACGGTTAATACCCAGATCGAAACCATGTTTGAGGATTCCAGCTCAAGGAGCAATATTTCTTCGAGTTCGACAAAGGCCAAATCGCCGTTCAATTAGTACATGAAGTAAAAAATAATAAAGTCGAATGGTCATTCTGCGAGGCAGCGATACCTTAATATATGTAGTCAACGAAGTACTGAATCATTGAACGATAGCAGATATATTGCATGAGTGGGGTGGCTACTGCAAGAGGTTGTGATGAGCGGTGTAAAGCCACCGGTTGTGCCTGCTTGCGGGCAAAATAGGTGCTGCTCAGATCGCTTTTTGCCCTACGAAGTATGCGTTGAAACGGCGCGTTTGTGTGTGTGCGGCGGTATTGGGCGCGGCAAAGTTTCCCGAGTGGAGAGGTCGTGATAGCATGAATCGGGCGGTCGGCCTGATTGGGAATGGGGATGATGAACACCAATGCGTTCGAAGAAAGTCAGGATGGTCCACTGCGTAGTGAGGCTGGTGGAAGTTTGTGGAAGAAAACTTGTAATGTATTGAGAAAGTGATAATGTTGAAGCCCGTATGCCAGATAATCCTAAGATAAAGAGGGCTTCTCAACTGCCCTCACAAACGCCGGGTGCCTCTAAACGCCAATCATGCAGCTCATGGGCCTGTAACATGCCCGAGCAGAGATACTGTACACCAAACTGCCGGAACTCCACCTTCTTCCAAGGAAGCTCTTATACCTCTAGTCCGCCAACCATGTAGAATAGCAGATAGGCCTCTGCAGCAAGGACCTCTGCCTCGCTGACCAGCACTACCTTGCTGTCGTCGAACATGAACCAGTCGTTGCCCTCCCTGCTGTAACTGACGTAGTGTCCAGAGTCGATTTTGCCTTTGTGTACGATGACACTGCTCAGTTCGTATACGAGGGCGTTCGCCGGGCTGTTGACGTTGTGGTTCGAGAGCGGTGCGCCGGAGGTCTTCACGGCGCGCATGGCGGCTTTGTGGGCGGTCGTATAGGGATATATGTCTAGTTTGACTGGGAAGCGAACGGGGGTTTCGATCTTGGAGGACGTGGATTTTGTGTGCTCGAAGCGCTGAGTAATTGTCAGTATAGGGACGCTGCGGACGGCTCTTGGTACGTACCTTGAGGTGAATGGAGAGAACGGGTGGTAACCTCTTGATGCTCAGCTGCTTGGTCGCATTCTGCGGACTGTCGCAATTTCGACATGTGTACTCTGCTGAGCCCAGCTTCTCCTTTACCGTGAAGCGTTCGAGACAGTCCCTCAAATCCAGAGGAGTCTCTTCACCCTTTTCCTCCTTGATCTTCCGTTTCTTGCCTTGTATCCGTACGTCCAAACTAAGGTCCATATACGGGTCTTGCGCCGTGGTCACATTGCGGCAATTGTCGCATGTCACCGTACTTGAGAGCTTCCCGCAGAATGCCTGATGTACCACGCACTTGCAATCCTCCGAGTCGTCTGTCGATCCGCCGTTCGCCTGGTGCAGCGTGTTGAGTATGAACTGCATGTACTCGTGCGCATCCTGCTGCTGGTATCCCGCGAGAGCCTCTCCTGCCAGCCAGCTGCCCATGAGCATGCTGACAGCGCCAAAGCCCTCCGTCTTCTCAGCTGAGTGGAATTCGACAAACATCTCGTCCAGCGCACAGCTCACACATGAGTCCCTCTCGCACTCTGTCTGCTTATGACCTTCGGAAAGATAGAAGTTTCGTATGAACGGGTTGTGGACGAGGGTTTGTAGGATGACGCTCATGAAGCATGTCTGACCCATATTATAGAGCCCACGCAGGCCTATCGCGCGGCAGGGGAGGAAGGTCGAGTTGCTGATTACGAGCTTGTGGTCTTCGGTCGTGGTATTATCTTCGTACTTTCGCTTCTTGCCTGTGTTGTAGTCAGCCAATCTGATGTCTTGGAGCATGAGCATGCCGCCACACACCCTTCTGTACTCTCAGCACGTCCAACGTCTCGTCGTAGATGAAGTCCTGGCAATTGCCACAGTATATGTTGCCGTCTCGTGACTCGACAGCTGCTTCCTGTTAGCCCTTTGTATTCCTATGACATTGTCTGACCCACAGAAACAGTGCGACTTGGTCTCAAAGTGCAAATCGCGATCCACCTCGGTCATGATGCTCGGGCACTGCAGGCATAGATACAGCGGCCTCAGCGACACAACGTTGCGCGCATCCGCCGGCGCAGTGTACGTCTGCGCTATTATGCTCGGTTTCTCGTGGATATTCTGGAGGATGGCCCGGTAGTGCTGGAGCGTCTGCTTGCGCGCCTTCTCGAACATCTCGCCCATGTGCTCTGCCATGTGTTAGCAGCCTCCTCTGACAGTCTGAATGGCAGAGCGCTTACCGCATCCATACGCGATATGCGCCATCTGGCTGCTCGGCACAATGTTGCCCTTTGCATTCTTAACAATCTTGGGCGACGCCAGCGCCGACGCCTTGGGGGCCACTGCCATCGTGTCCATGGTGCCGGAGGTTTCGAGCCTTGGTATAATAGACGTGCTCGCGCTCTACATAGTGCAGGATTAGAAGGTTATCGGAAGCGCTCGCCAGCAGCACGGGCGCAACACTTTGGTGGCAGCGGCGCTCACGATGCGCGGCTTGGGGAGTTATTTCTGGGGTTGAAGCGGACCTGCATGAAACCAATCAGCAGTGCGCCGCTAGCGGATCTCCCGCCCACGCATCGTGCCGAGCCCGATGAGAAGACATCACCATCACACTGCAACTTTGATGTAATCCTCCCAAGTCCCACTTCTTGTATTCAACCCGTTTATCCTTCGATTGTGATTACAGGCCTACCCTCTACAGTATATCTCGCGATTTCAAAACTTACTCACTCCTCCCTTTTTCGATATTCCCTCCGCTTCAGCGCCTTTCCCTTGCTCTTTGGGGTCTGCATCTTCAACTTGTAGAACAAGAAAAAGCTTAGTCAAGGTTGATGACAGCGAAAGTGGATACGAAGGCGGAGGAGGTATGAAGGGCAGAGAGGGTCGCAATAGCGGGAGTGGGGGTGTAAGAGGGCGCACGGGAGCGACAAACTTGGGCGGGGAGGGAACGTTGTCTATATTCTCGTTGGCGAACTTAGGGAGCTTCAGCGGGATGCGGCTGCTCGCGCAGGTCAGACACATTTCGGTTCTACACGCAAATGAGTTTCACTATACCTACCTATTGCGCTCCAAAATGACACGAACTGGCTGATAATTACTTTAACTCAAAGGTACCTACGTATTACGGTGAGATGTTGATGCAGAGCAGAGTAACAGAGCGCGGCCAGGGAACTGTTGCCCAGGTATGCGAAGTTGTATTGATCTCTATGGAAAAGAAAGAAGATTCCGCTCAAAGTTGTATGCGCGTAACACGACTGCACTGTTATATGAAGAGAAGTGTGACTGGTAAGTGCAACACGTGGGAGAAACCATTACTAACAAGCTGCCGTCTGAACACTTCGACGCGTCTCTCCATACCCTGCCCTACGTTTTCCGCGACATAAGAGAACACCGAATCACAAAGTGCAGCAACACGAAATGGCGATTGTTCTGATAAGATGCTTCAAGTAAGGGCGCGGAAAATGTGGTTTGTAGAATACGCATGCCAAGATACAGCCAATGTGCTATGCTACAAGAATACGTAGGCGCCAGACAGCTGTATCAACAGACCGCAGCCGGTTTTTCTGCTGCCTCTTTATCTTTCTCTAACCATTGCCGCGTGACATACCTTATGGATTAAACAACCTTAGTGGATAGTAGAGGTACTTGGGAATGGATACTCGTCGCAGTACTGGGTACAAAGTGTGTAGCTTACTGTAAGCTCTTCGGTATTCTGCCATCCTTCCGCCCTTTTGGAGCCTCACCTTCACTCTTCTTTTGCGCTTCTCTCTCCATCTGCAATCTGTTCTACTCCGTGATGAATCTCTTTCCGGTAGCGTTGTACGCTTTTGTTCGATGGCCAAATATTTGATGGCGAATGTTGTTTTGTTTGAGATAGTCGACGTACGTGGCAACGCCTGCGGACTCACGAGGAGGGCGAGCTTGGATTGTGATTTGTCCTCTAGCTCGTGGGCAAACGACGTCCAATATTCTCGGAGTTGAGCTGGTAGCTTTTCTAGTACTCCTTGACCAGTTGGTACTAGCTTTCGGTTGATCCTCCTGGGGTATAGGTTCAGGTGGAGGGCGCCGTGGTGCCTGATCGAGGATACGTTGTGCCCAAGTTTGGCGTAGAGCATAAATAGCGAAACGTTGAACATGTCCATAGTTGTACCATACGATCGATGAACTGTGCTCCCAACGCGCGCAGTCGGGTATGAGCTGACAATGAGAAGGGTATCGCGGAGGCTTCCAGTAGGTTTAACTGCGTGAGCGTAATTAGCTTGGAGGCTATCCAACGTACTTCACGTTGACAACTTACCCAAATTGCTCTCGCTCATGTCAATCCAATTGTCCATTGTGTCCGGGAGCTCAATAGCATGTTCGCCTTCCACTGCCTGTCCCCATGCGAAGTCCATGTCCGGATACGTAAGCGGCCAGGTGGACGGATCTCGCTCTCGGCGGGGTATAACGAAAGGCGGCGATGTGCATGCATGGTCATAGACGGTCGCAAGGAACTCTTGAACTCCTGGTAAGGTTAGTACATATGCGCCTTACGTGCTGTAGAGTAGATCTTACCATCTTCTTGGAGGTCTGGCAACAATCGTTCTACCAAACTGCGGATTTCGTCGGCGGTTAGCTCACTGAACAGGTCGTTATCTGTTAGGGAGCATCGGTCAACGATGTCAGGTACTGTGCATTCGTCAATGATGCTAGTTGTGGGATCCGCGTCGTCTAGTATTTGCTCTGTCGCTCCGGTGTTGTCGGTGAATACCGTAAACGCAGGGGGTCGTTTTGCTTTCGTTGTTGATGATCGAGTCCGCGCTGTCTGGTGTCCTGGTGGCGGTTCAGGTAGTTGGGACGGTAATTCCGACAGTGCTCCAGTCAAAGGCGCGTTGCGAGCTCTTGAGGCTGCTGCCGACAGTACTGTATTCTTGGGTCTCTTCGCAGGTGGGGAGTTTTCTTTGTTGGATGAGCGCGGTGGCGGCAAGGTAATCGAGGTCTTGAGGATGCAATGCGTTTACTGGCACACGTAAAGGACAGATGGAAAACGTAAAGGACAGATAGAAAACGCTCAAAGCACGAGAGATTTGAATATCACATACCCTGAGTGCTGTGTGCCAGAAGCGAGTGAAATGAGGCAGTCGTGAGAGGCATGAGGCAGTTGGTAGGGGACCCACATCCAGCGCATCATCGATGGCCAACCATCTTCCCCGCGTCTCCTGGGTGAGTCGCATGAGGCAGTCACGAAAGAACCTATACCCAGCGCATCATTGATGGCCAACTATCTTCCCCGCGTCTCCTGGGTGACTGGCATGAGGCAGTCACGAAAGCACCCACACCCAGCGCATTATCAATAGCCAACTATCCTCCCCGCGTCTTCTTAGTAAGTAGCATAAGACAGTCGCGACATAACTCTAATCCAGCGCATCAGAGGTTAGGTATCTTCTCTAGGATACTTTTAATAAGTGGCATAGAGTAGTTATAATAGAACCTTTATCCAGCTCATTAGGGGTTAGCTATCTTCCCCAGGATCCTCTCATTCAGTAGCATGAGGCGGGGACCACAGAATTTTAAATCTGAAAGTTGTCCGATTGTCTAGCTAATCACACACTAGCCCTACTTGTTGTGAACATGCCTGAATCTCATCTACCTAGGTAGTTAGCATAGTAGCTACACACATCCCGCTCTACCTAGATAATTTCGAATAATTTATTGTACTTTATTAATACCAGCATACGACACTGTGCCAGAGTGGTTTAATGAGTGTGATTTGAAAGAGCTTGTCTCCATCAGATCCTGGTATCAGATTCTGGCCGAGGCATCGAGCCATGATGTCAATGTGCATGACCCCATGAGATCGTATGTCCGCGACGTGGAATCCGAATTTTGCATATAGCATCCACATACAAACGTTACTCATATCATCAACAGTGCCGTAGCGGTTGTGCACACTCCCTTCGTCTGATGCTGTCGGGTAGCTGGATATCAGTGGTAGCGTGTCGGTGAACGATCCAACTGGCTTTACAAGACCGTCTTCTGACATGTTAAGCCATTTAGGTAATAGACTTGCGTCACCGAGGTCTAGAGCCCGCTCGCCGTCGACCGCGTGCTTCCATAGTAAATCGAAGTCAGGGTTAACTAACGACCAGGTTGTGGGGTGTCGAGAGCGCGCCGGGATCCTAAATGGAGGAGACTTCTCAAGATGGCCGGCGATAGTCCTGTAGAAATTCTTCATCTTTCTTGATGAAAGTGCAGGTAACACTTTCTCCACCATAGATGTAACCTCATTGGAGGTAACATCAATGTTGAACAGGTCCTTATCGCGCAGTGGAATGTTGAGGGAGTACTGTGCCTCCCTCATGTCATCATCGTCCGCGTGGTGGATGTCGGCATCGTCGTCGGTCTGGTCGACATCGTCAAACTGGCTGGCATCGTCGTCGGTCTGAACGGCATCGTCAAACTGGCTGTCCTCGTCCTCGTTGTCTTCGTCAGGTTGGCTGGCCTCTTCCTCGTTGTCTTCGTCAGGCTGGTCGGCATCGTCCTCGTTGTCGTCTGAACTCAGGAACATATCCTCTTCGTCGCCCTCAGGATCGCTGTAATTCTCTAACTCAAAAACACTACCTGTGTCATCGTCTGTTGCTCCTGCTGTGTAGGACTCGTGCAGGCTAGCATCATCTTCATCTGCGTGTCGACTGGACCCTGCATCTAGTCGCTTTTTAGCACTTCTCGTAAGCCTGGCGTCCTGTGCGGTGGAGCGCGCCGCATCTGTGTCGTCGTCGTCGTCTTCTCGTTGACGTTTCCGCTGAGTCTTAGTGGGCTTAGGTGGTTGGGCGACTTCCTTGCCCTTTGGTGTAGTCTTGCTACGACTGGGCCGGGCGGTGCGCGAGATGTAACCGTCTATGCTCTTTTGCTTGTACGGGTCATGTTGAACCTTTCGTTTGGCCATAGTAGACACTCCTAGGGGAGTGTGGCTGAGCGTTGATGTTACGTATCTACACCGAGGCGATGCTGCAAGTGAGGGGGTACGGCAAGAACGTATGACGGCGGGCGGACCTTTGGTAGCCTGAGCGTTGATGCTATGTACCTACACTGAGGCGATGCTGCAAGTGAGGGGGTGCTGCTGGGTAATGTAGCGGCGCGAGGGCGTTCGACAGAGGCAAGGACGGACGAACGAATAGTGTTGACGAGAGGTGGCTTCGCCGCCTAACAAGCATAGCAGGAGCGAGCTTGACGTAGCTAGGCGGCGGGTGTAAGACGTCTTTCTGGGAAGGAGCGAGCGCACTGGAGGCAAGCGCGCTGAACTTGGTTGTAGCCATTGTAGTGCGCGAAGCAGGAGCGACATACTAGTTGGTAAGAGTAGTAGAAGAGAGGCCAACATCGCGAGATAGTTAGATTAATAGATTGCAATGTCAAACAGTGAGCGCGCTAGGGGTATGCGCGCTGGAGGGAAGTGTAACAGGTGCAGTGCGCGAAGCAGAAGCGAAGTACTAGTCAGCAAGAGTAGTAGGAGAGAGGCCGATATAGAGAAATAGTAGAAACAATTGATTGCCATGATGAAATCTTAACAACATTCCTCATTTATTTCTTCTCCTTCCTCCTCTTGACTAACAGAATCCCATTACTTCCCCGTACTCCAAACCCCGTCCTTGCGAACGGCTTGGTATTGTGGCTTTACTAGACTCCGGTTTGGTTGTCTTGGTAGCTCCCATACCCCAGCGCTCAAGTTCTTCTTGACTTTCCGTCCACTCATCCTCACTTGCCCGTGGGGTAAAGATGATGGGTTTCGGGTGCTTCTTTAGCAGCTTGGGTGTGCCAAGATCGGTGTGGGAATAGAGTGCCTGTCGTTGCGCGCGACAATGACCGATGGTGAGGTTGTGTCGGTCCGGTGTCAGCATGGTAGCGGCGGTTGTACTGGGTGCAGCCATTGGATGGTAGTATGTTGATGACTAGAGTGGTTGCTGGCTAACGCCGAAGACGCTTAAGCTGCGATGGTGACTTGTAGGTCGAAGTGATGGTTTGAATGATGATGTTGATGTGCGCGTATCCTCGTAGGGAAGCTTCGACTTTATACCACACTGCAAATGATCAGCGGAACGTGATGATCAAGGTATCACGCAGCAACCGGGATAGATGAGAATCTTCGATGTAGTTCTCTGTATTTTGCTACGTGTCTAGCGCTATCATGCTGTATTGTCGAAGCTTAACGTGATGATGATGGTGGTGAGACCAAAAGGTGGCGCCGCCTGTTTGGGCAACCTCCGAGTAGAAGCCGATGGAAATGCTTGGCCGCAACGAACCAAGTGCAATCTGAGTTGCGAATACATTAGATACATAGAGCTTCGAAGGGAACCAGGAAAAAATAGACTATGGCTTAGTTAAGGATATAGAAAGAAAAGCGTGCCGATTGAGCCAATGGATGGGTATCCTAGAAACAAGCAAATACGTCGCTGATAGTCATCGTCGGTCCAAAGGAAAGAAAGCCTCCATACACATGGTTTAGTCAATGCGCGAAGATTCCGAGACAGGTGGTGAAGGAGGAGGCTGCGAGGTGTCTAGGTACCGGCGCTTCGCTTCCGGAAGATCATCTGCATCTTCGTTTGTGCGCTTCTGTGACGCACCCACCGAACCAGTCTTCGGAACAAGCGGAGAACCTCTCATCTTTTTGTTCTTCTCAACAACTCTCCTCCACTGTGCTATGGCGCGATAGGTGAACGTTACACGTTCAAAGTCCGTCGTGGGTGGAGCAAGCTCGATGTCTACCCAATCGACCCTTCTGAGACCTACGAGCGCCTTGTTGCCGAAGGCTTTGGCAAGATTTTTGGTCATGAAGTCGATCTGCTCTGGGCTCAGTGTCGAGTCCCGTAAACCGAACCGCAGCGTCAAATAGCCTTTTGGCTTGGGCCGCCAGTTAGACGTGTTAACCGTTCCTAGCTTGAGCGGAGCCAGGACGATATGTTGGTCACTGTGCTGTGTGCTTTTGCCGCGAGACCATATTTGCGAGGGTGTATCTTTGCGTCGTTCGTCCATGTTGATGCGCTGATGTAGACGAAAGGTCGATATTGCTCCCTCCGTGTCTGTCGTGTGGAGTTCTTTCAAAGCGTCAATGAGCGCACGGGTATATGACTTGTCGCCAGGGGGCTCGGCCAATTGATCAATTGCGCAAGCGCTGAGGAGCTCAAACTTCTTTTGGCCTTCTCTGCCAGACTTTGCAAAGTTGCTCGCATAGCAGGTGTCTAGGATGGTCAAGACATCGCTCTCTACATCTTCGCTGCGTAGCCGGTCCTCTGCTTTGGTCCAGTTCGCACGGGCGTTCTTCCGGAATCCTCTGCCGAGTAGGACATTGTTGGGCCTGAGGCTGCCCGTGAGCTCCAAGCACTTTCTCTCCTCGCTGTAATCGCCGTGCCCGGTGTAGTATACGATGAGCAGATTTTCCGGTCCATCGTTGTCGCGTATGAAGTTGATAACGGAGCTTTCGAGCTGATGTTGAGGTTTTGTTTGGACGTCGAGCTCGACGATGTTTGACTTGTAGTGGTAGCGTTCGCGGAAGAGGGCGTTGAGTTCTCGAGCCTAGTTTTGGTCAGACGACGTGCGCCCAACGCGTTTTCTGGGTACAACATACCTCTACTCCGGTCTTAAGGTCGTCCAGCGCATCTGCCCACCTGATTATCAACACGGCAGCGCTGGAGTAGCCCTCGGGCAGGTCCATGTTCTTGGCGATAGCTTTGGACCAGCATTCCCGCATATCAGCGGCCTTTTCCTGGTAGACGACATCTGCTATGCTTGGTTTGCTCTCCCCTAGGCGCTCGTCGCTCTGAATAGCTGGGCCGCTCGGTCCCGACTCGTCGTCAATCGATTGTATCCGTATGTCGGCATGGATGACTTTGTTCGGGTAGGGATTCGCAACGTGCGAGGTTATCTCAGTCGCCATGGCGTCCATGGCATGCGCCGTTGCGCTTGAGGAAAGAGCCATTGGGTAGAAGAGCTGTGAACCTGCGGGGCTCGACGTTCGCGGCGACGGGCCATAATGAGTGCCATAGTTCGCTGCAGCTTTCAGCCCCCATATTGGTGGGACATGCACCACGGCTCGACGAGTGCGGAGATGGTAGATGCAGCCACGCCCCCGCCAATCAGCGCTCCGCCAACTTCATCACCGAGCGTTGGGGTCCAAAGCTGAGCCTCCACCACCCCCAATTACAAAGAACCAGCCTGCCAGGATTGACTGCCTGCATTTACCGCTTATGGCCAGAGGTCTGGTGCGATGACATGAGCTCACCACTACTGTACCCGCAGAGTGCACTGTCATGCGATGGGTATGCAATCATCTGCATGCAACATGGCTAAGCCGCGGCTGTGCAGGCAATATGGGCCCCCAACCATGCTCTGCACCGGTCACGACCCTCTGTTGCCTGGGGCTGCAGTAGGCAAACTGTCAAGAGGCCAGCAACAAGGACTTCTATAATAGCAGACGCTGCTACCATACTTCAGGGCATCATCCACAAGGCTCCCTGCCTCACTTCCCAACTACTCAATCACCATGGCTACCACATTCGATGAACAGCCTCTTCAGGCAGTCGAGGTTAGATCCCACGCTGCGTGGTTCCCGCTCCACGGCTGACTGTTAGCCACAGAACGAATACGTGGACGCCGCACCGGAAGATGCAGCTCCCCAGACCAAAGCGAGTGTAAACCCTGACCCGAACGCTGCTGAAGTAAGTCTTTCTCCAAAGGTTCAGGCGGTACACTCTAACTTTGTCTCAGCCAGTCGCGCGCTTCAGCAAGGGCGAAGTTGTGCGCAAACCAGTGTTTACGAATGGCGAACGAACGACAGGCGTCTTTACCGTTTACGACCGCAAATTCAACCGTGCCAGGGGATACCATGAGTATCAGCTCCGGGATGTCTATTCCCTGGAGATGGCAAGTGGCTGGACCCGCGAGAAGGATCTGAAGCCTCGCAGCTGAGCTGTGCTACATTGCCTGAGGCTGAGTTCACCGGAAGTCACCAGGCAGCTGTGATTCAGATGCGCACAGCCAATTGTGCAAGGGGAGTCTAAGGCGTTGGGGCTGAGTCTTACGGATACGGCGATCGCACCCCTCAATTTCATGTCTTCAATACTACATACACTGCGTTCTTGCCACAGTTTGTTGAGCCACAGACAGCTCACTTTTAATGTTCACCTGATCGATTATTGCTGGTGTTCAAAGGCTCCCGTCTTCTTCTTCTCGCTTCTTCGCTTGTGTGCGGGCCGCGCCTTCCTTCTTGCATCACCATGGCCCCTCTTCGTACCATGACCGGCGATACTTTCACCGATGACAAGACACCCCAATCGCCAGTATCGCCAGTGTCTCCCACAAATACCGACGCGACCTTGACGGGGGACTTCATTGAGGGTGCTGAAGATAGCCATTCTACCATTCAGCCCCCAACGCGGAGAGACTCAGTTGACGTTGAGAGCGCACAGCCTGGTAAGCGATCCCACAAGATCCTTTTTGGCCCCCAAAACAAACTGACCCCGCTATGTATGGGGCCAGAAAGGTAAGGTCAGCGACGCAAAGCTCCTGCCTGAAGGAGCTTGCCACCGTCAGCTTACGCGTGCCCGATATGGTGGCCATGAGATGCCATATCAAATTGATTGCATCGGCAGCTGGAAACTTACTGTGAGTCATCAAAGACTAACAAATCTTCAGAGAACAAAAAGAAGCGACCGAATTTCTTGCGACGAATCACAGTCCCTTTTCGCTCCGAGCCTGAGGCCGAATATGTGACTGAGAACGTTACGCGAACTTGTGAGTTATTATCACAATTGAGTCCGACTAAACACTCATGAAAGTCAGTGGAAAAAACTCCCAATGGCTTCCCAAAACTCGCAGCATTCCAATCGAGTGAACAAAACTTCTCACTTTATCGCGCCTTCTCATATCTGCACTCACGTATCCTCCTTGATTTGCAGGATGAGATCACATCACTAGAACAGGAGCTGGACGAGATTGACTGGGATGACCACGACGAAGACCGTACTCGTTTGATGTCGAGGGATTTCGACAAAGCCCAGCCTGATGGCGAGGGGGCGCCTCGCAGCCGACGAGTTGTACTGCGAGAAATCAAAGCCAAGCTAATGGAATATGGTATGCATTCCTATAGTAGCACATCGTAGATGTGAGCCCATCAGTCAACGACTAACTGCTGCATAGATGATGTCCTCATCAAGGCAAGGACAGTGGGTTCCTTCCAGAAGCCATCAGATCGAAATTACCGTAGTGTGCGACGCTACTGTTACAACAGAAAGCCGCTCATGGACGCTGAGATGGAAGCTATTCGCAGCAAAGAAGACATTGTATCCTTGCACAACGGTCGTGAGTGGGCGACCTTCGACGGCGGTGTCGAGAGTCTTATCGGCCAAACCGACATACTCCTGCAAAAGGTCTTTGGCACCAAGAAACTTCCACTACAGGTAAGCAGAAGAGAGAGTGATGCTATGGGCAGTCATACTAACGAGCCATTAGAAGTACTTCCGTACCCCAGAAGCTCAGGAAAAGACAACAGATCCTTACGTCTCCCTCTACAGCAGCTCCCGCATCGACAAAGTTGTCAACATGCTCATCACATTCGTCATATTCTGTCTCCTTGTCGTTCCCGTCATCACCATGTATCAGTTAACCAACACTGCTGCACATGTGGTGACGGATGCTTCTGGCAACACGTCCACAACCAGCCAAGTGGATATTGACAGTAGAGACACTTTCAACGCTGTCGGCGTGCTGATCGTATTCACGTTGCTCTTCAGCGCTGCAATGAGTCTTTTGACCAAGGCGGCGAGACACGAACTGTTTGCGGCATCGGCAGCCTATTGTGCGATCTTGGTGGTTTTCATTGGTAATTTCACAGGGCCTGGCAATTGACGCCGCTCTATCAACGATACTTACGAAATTATGATGATCATGATGACCCCTTGATATTTCATATTGCCGGTGCTTCTCGTTCTCAAGCTATAACAAGGCTGCAGGCGACGGCGACTGTCGCCCCGTGAGGCGGTCTGTAGAAATTCTCGGACTTTTTTAATCCGCCACGACCCTCGTATCTTCGTATATTTCTACTTGCCGGAAATTCGGGGATTGGACTCTCCCGAGATCCCGCTGACCGGTATGCGAGGCTTGGCGTATAGTCAGCCTTAATGCGAAGCTACCCAGTAGGCTTCATAATCCAAGCCCTTTACTACACCAAGCCACATATGATTGGCACCCCTACTGCTAGTAGACACACATCTGAACGCCATTTAGTGCGATGTAAGGTTTACAAGCCCTGGGCAATCGACTATCCGATACCTCTCACGTGAGATACCGCCCGGGCGTACCCAAGTATCGCTTGTGGCACATGCATTTGGTTTCGCGTCGCTTAGACGCAAGACATATATTTGAAGTATCTGCCCGCACCAAAATTGATACGACATCGGTAAATCACCTTCTCCTTCTTCTGTGAGGCACCCAGTGATAGCTTTCGCTTTCTTAAACATGTCCTTCCTATCGAACTACTTCACTGGGCAGCGAGTCGCTCCTCCTAGCATACTCACGGATACCATCATACCCCTCCACAGCCGCGACGACACGCATCAGAACAGAAACGTTTCAGTCGAATTCACCATGTGTTTTGACGATGTTCTTGATGAGCGGAATCTTGTCGAAGCATTATGGAGGTTGCTGGAGAAACCGGGTTGGAGAAAGTTGGGAGCGCGACTGCGCCTCAACACGAGCAACGACAAACTTGAATACCACATACCAGCACATTACACCAAAGAACGCCCGCCAGTCAACTTCACGCATGTTACTTATGACAGCAAATTGAAGGACCATCCTCTTGGCTGCCAAATTCCTACTGCAAACGAGCGTAACGACAGTGTCCAGGTCTTCGGCGTTTTAGAGTCGCAACGTGGGGTTATAAGTGCGAAGGGCAATACTTCAGTCCTTGATGACTGGCTTTTTTCAGACGAAGCGCAGTTACACTTACATGTAGCGAGCTTCAAGGATGCGACACTCGTCACCCTGACTTGGCTACATACGCTTCTTGATGCGATGGGACGACAAACTCTACTAAGAGCCTGGACGGCAGTGTTGGAAGGAAGAGACGAAGATGTACCGGAGTTTTGGGGTTACGATTTCGACCCATTGACGCGGCTTGGAGCTTCTCCCGATGAGGGCGACCAGGATGCAGAGGGTTTGAGTGCCGGCACTACGCAAGTGCAAGAGAAAGCGCAATCTCAGATCTGGATGGTGATGTCAAACTTCAAGACCTGGCTTCCAAGCAGGCTAGACCCCAGAACGACGCTCGCATACCTCTACTCTCGGTTCTTTAGACCGACAACAACGCAGAACGGCCGTATGCTCTACATGCCCCCGGCCTACATGGCTCGCTTGCGAACTGAAGCAATGCACGATCTTGAATCTCTCGATGCCTCACAAATAACCTACAATACCTCAACGTCTTCCGCACCAAAGCCCTTCCTCTCAGACGGCGACATCTTCTCAGCATGGTTAATCCGCCATCTCGTTTCCTCCGACACGTCTCTGCTCAACTCACCACCTGCTCGGCCCATCATAATCCTCAATGTCTTGGGCATGCGAGACGTATTATCTACCTCGACATCCAAATACGAGGTCTTGATTCCAAAAGGAAAAGCGTATGTTGCAAACTGCACAGGTGGAATCGTTTCGGCGTTCAGTGTACAGCAGTTTGTCGGTATGCCGTTGGGTCACGTTGCGGCTCGTATTCGCAAAGATCTTGTTGAGCAGGCGAATAGAGAGGCGGTGGAAGCTTCGCAGCGTGCCAGCCGCAACGGACAGCAAAACCTTACGCCTCCTTCGGATCCGCAAATGGGGCCGGCAGCCTACGTGTTCTCAAACTGGGCAAAGGCAACGTTGTTTGATACAGATTTCAGCGCTGCTGTCGTCTCTGATGATGGTGATGAGGGTGGGCTGACTAGTAGGCCGACCAGAGGCAAGCCTGTGTATATCAGTGTTAACGGTCACGATAGACGGGTGGACGGTTGGGGTAAAAGCTCAGGGGGCATTGGTATGTGTGTTGGTAAGGATGCTAGGGGTGGGTATTGGCTTGGAGCGATCACCCCAGCAAAAGAGTATGCGGAGGAGTTTGAGAAGACTGTGTTGAGCGATTTCTAGGCCGGTGCGCAGGTCACCGAGATGGATAGCGTCACCAGCCTTGTTACTTCAGAATTGGCATCACGATCTGATAGACATTTTCGAGTAGAATATACGGTAGGTGTTGCATTGGTTGAACGCAGAATTATTTCGCTCAATGACTACAGAAACTCCGGCCCAGTTGCGCCATTCGCTAAAGTGAAAAGTCGTGAGAAAATATAATGCATCAAGGGCTGGGCTGATGCACTATGGGTATACGTGTGTGTTCTTCGTAGGGCTTGGATGGTACGTATGTGTGCGACACACCTTCGTGCTTCACAACCTCCCATGCCCTGTTTTCTAACGGAACATCGAGCGGTTTGAGAATCTAGTAGCGGACGCCATCAGCGGCGGCCTCGGTGTGTGGCTGAACGGCCTTCTCTTGTTCGAGCCTGGCCTTTCGGCGGTGGTCCCTAATCTCGTGGAAGGAGGCGGTGATGGCATGGAGGAGTCTGGTAGCCAGTTAGCAGATAATTCAGGGATTTGGGCAGCGGAGAACATACGTGCTGATAATTGCCAAAATGAAGGTGCCCCACGGCAGGTTACAGCTGTCATCACGGCTCGCAGTCGCGCCAGTAACAACACCAGTATTGCCGTTAGCAATACGCTCCGGGCTGTAGCAGTGACGAGCACCAGCAAGACCTCCGTTCGGTCGCGTAAGCACAGCCACTGCGATGAATGCTCCAACAAATGCAAGGTCGAGAAGTACCCAGACCCATCGGAGTACTCGACCGCCGGGGTTCGCTGACTTCTTGATGCAAGAAAGTAGGATCGTGATCAAGGTATACAGCACGGCGGCGGCAAGAATGCCCTCAACTGCACCATAGCTGCCGTTGACGCCGCGATAGGTCTTGACGCTGTTGACAAGGCGATACACCTTATATAAGCGTTGAGAAAAGATGCCGAGTGAGACCACAGAGCTGATGAATTGTAGGAGGCGTGTGAAACGTAAGAACCAACGGTAGAAGGAAGTGTTCTTGAGCTTGTCCGGCACGAAGCCTAAAGATGGGTGTACGCAGTCAGTATTCGTCTCACATCCAGTTCATGGGTAGTTACTGACGCGTGAGAAGACCTGTTTGCTCGCGCTTGTCGGTGACTGGGTAGTCGACCGGACCGTCAATGGGCTTCTGGGCGTGCACCATGTTGATATGCTGGGTGTCGACGTGGATGGTATTGATGGATTGGTGAATTCTGCTGAATGCTGAAAATGAGGGCAGCGCGAAGATGTACTATCTTATAGCTCTGAGGATGGGGTGACAGCGATGTGACACAAAGACCAGGCCCCTCTTGCCCGTTTGACACGGTCGTCACTCACCGTCACCGTCAGCTTCGGTACCACCCCCCCGCATCCAAATTAAACCTGGAACCGCGGAGATTTTGCTTAGGCTTGATGCACGGCAGTGCCATGTTGCCTTTGCGCTTTCTCGGCGCATCATGAGATTGGATAGCTTTGAACGACAAGCCACGATACAGGCGTGATTGGTGGCTGAGAATCAACGCACGTGACACTGCTAACGCGGTGCTAACCTGTTGCAGGCAAGTACGTCACTGAAAATCCCTATGCTTTTTCCTGAACGTGATTTGGAAATCCCATGCATGGGAAACCAGTTCCATGCGCGTCACAGCCTCGTAGATCTCCAATGGCATATACGTCGTGGCTGCCGAATCGCTCGATTCCTGAGCTGATCATCGGAGAATGACGAGCCACATTCGCGGGCGCTTGCTTTTTAGAGGCGATCGCGGTGAAGCTTGTTTCTGTGGCTTCAAGCTATAGGCAAGCTAAGGTTCCGTTAACCGATTATCTCACGAAAACCAGATTGCGAGAGCATAGGGTGAACAGAATACGCTCCTTGATCCATACGCAATGCGTCCAGAAGCGGTTGTGCGACGAACTGCTGCATGCTCGCCCTGCCAAACTTGTTGAGCGCTACTCGCGTTCGGATCCAAATGCCAGCACTGCACTATTTGGTGCTGTCCCGATGGCGAGTGAAGCCTTGCGCCTGATACCGTCAAACATTTGGTATGCATCCTAGTTCCATCGTCTTGTCATGTTCGTCGTTGGTGACTTCAGATCCAACTCTTCCCAAGACCTCCACGATCCCCTCCTCAATTTCTCTGGCTCTGAATTGACATTCGAATGGATGCAGTGAAGGCAGTTTCCACGTCATATGAGGAATAAACTGAACAGGTACGGTAAAGTCTACTATGCTTCAGAAACACGATTTTGTGAAACGTCGAGGCAATGTAGCCTTATTAGCTTTTTCGAATATACTCCGTGGAGGTAGATGCCCAGCTCTTGCCTTGAATGGAGTGTTCTATACGCAATTTGCGCCACCTCAACGCGGCTTTGTATGCCGAGTAATAGTTATGTGTCGGGTGAAGAGGCCGTAACCACGACGTCGAAGATAAGCTAGTTGGGTTGATCTGATTGGCTGGGCATTGCTGGTGTTTGCGTTCAGGAGGGGTTGTGAGTTCCACATAGCGTCGCCTTGCGGTACAGCTTGGCCGTTGTGTCATACCACTGTATTCAATTCTCTTGATAACTTCCCATCAAGGTAAAATTGCATCTTTCCGATCTTTTTCGCTACTTTCCCCGTACCATACAGTCGCTCATCGATGTATCTGATCAATTCGCGAAGGTAGATTTCTGACTTTGCGAAGTCCATTGGGTACAGCTCCTTAAAGTCCAGATGTGCCAGACCTTCAATCTTGCGGAAAGGTATTTCTGCAAGACCGATCTCTTTGTTGCCGTTTCCATACCTCCACGTATCAATATTGATAGTCACAGTATCAATCCGAGTAACAGGTATGTTCCGGCCATCGTCTAAGTGCTCGTGCAACAGTGGGTCGACCCATGTTTCCAAACCCCGGTAAACTTGTGATCCATCGCGTTCCGTACTATCATCGAGGATTAAAAAGCGAGCCAGCGGGGACATCAGTCCTCCGGCGAGAAGCATCCAGAAACTGTGCAAGTCAATTGAACCCCGGTTTTCGTGAGCCCAGTTCGTCTGCAGATGCCGTCCATCTGTGGTACAGCACGGGATTATGTTGATGTTTAATCTCTCGATGGTGCCTTCAAGCTCACGCGTGGGTATAACGCGCCGTGTCGGCCACAACCAGTGCTCATCAACAACCGCGATATCGACCTCGAAGTTCCGCGGCGCTTTTGAGAGATATTCTTTGGTCTCGCGATACATTCGTTGACTAATTAGTAGAAGGCTTGAGACTCCCGAATCCTTCAAATAATCCAGACTCGGTACACAGCAAAGACTGCGAACGTCTGTTGGATAGCTGGGCCGATGACGCATGCCATTCTTCGGTAAAACGGTAGGTGTCGAGAGCACAAGGTCGATGATGTTGAAGACCAGTTCGCTCGGTAAATCCAGAAAGCCGACCATAGCTGCTTGCTGATAGAGGTCGCATCAATGTTGCGTGAGCGAAGGTTGGATGGGTTGTTCGCGATGCCTGCGCAGGTAGGTCCCGCAGCTCTGAGGCGCAGGCGCGGTTGACCCCACTTGAGCCTCGGACCGATGGAAGCTCTCCCGCACAGCCATCATCTCGCCATTGCATGAGAAACAGGCCCGACTTTGTTTGAGTCATATTGCGGTGCGCTCAATGCTGTTACACATACCATCGCATTACAGGTTCGACTGCGCGCGTTCACGCAGCATCGCACCCAGCCCTGAAGCCAGAGACCGCTTCGTTTTGGTTAGCGCGAATGACTCACTTTTGCTCACTCTGCCTGCGCCTCGTGCATGAGGCTCAACAGCCCCCGGAGTCATATGCATCGCCTGATTGGGAAGCATGCTGATTCACGGAGTGGAGTAAAGTGTTTGAGCGTGTCTCTTGTACAAGACATAAAGATCGCTGTACGCTTACAAGAGATCAGCATCATTATACATCAGAGTCCTTTCTGACGCACTCGACATACCCCTTTCAATCGTCTTCTCTGCATCTCGTTCTGCTTTTAGACATGGCGGCGACCGATCATACTTCTCCTCCAGCGCGGATATCAACGACTTCATACGATACAGCGTTGTGCATCATCCCACCCGCTTCTCAATGCGGCCACGTAGATCAGCTGCGGGAACTTTACGACAAGGCCTATGGGAAGGTGAGTGAGATCCCCTCTGGCATCAGAGAAAGCACACATTGACTAGGGTTTTTAAACTTTTTAGTGGCCACCTCACATCAACCTCGTGTACCCTTTCGTTGCACCAGAGCAGCTTCCAAAAGCACAGGAGCAGATTCAAGGGTACTTGGTACAGCATTTAACCCAAGAGACACCCATCGATGTTAAACTGGTTCAAGCCGGTGGTTTCGTGCAAAAGAACAACTTCACCGTATTTCTTGGTACCGATGACAGTGGTGAGGAAGGCTCGCCTCTCATCTCGCTGCGTACGACTGTACTGCAAGCATTAGGCCAAGCTCCTTCTCGATTTACTCCCCACCTCACTATCGGTCAAACACAGGGTAATCCTCTACTCTCGCAGTCATACCTCCTGCGCAAGGCTCAAAGATTGCCAAACATACACTTTCGCGTCGGCACGCTTGCTATCCTTATTCGTGAGAGAACGACTGGCGCGCTGTCAACTGATTACATGCGGTTGTATGGAACTATCGATATTGGGGGTCCAGGCGATGTTTGGAGACCTCACATTCCAGACTACTGGGTAAAGCTGCCCAAATCGAATCCGGCTGCACCCCGACCGGATATTGATGAAACTCAGCAAGAATCCTTACTTGAGGATTTCGAGGTGCGCGACGTGCCAGCCCTCTGCTTCGATTCGAACGAATCCAGATGGTCGCCGCACACATGCGAGAATAAGATCGAGGTTGGATTAGAAGAAATTACTGTTTCGAGTTACAATGTCCTGGTAGACACCGAGTATCCGCCGGACCATGACCGCGACCCGTTGATTGTGGATACCATCCTATCAGAACAATCGACGGCTGACATATTAGTACTGCAAGAGGTCTCC